TCCAACTCTCACCCATGCACACGTTTTGTGCATTTAAAGGTGAATACATTACAAATAATATTTATAAATAATTTTTGCATCTATAAACTATTTCCGAACACCACAATTACAGATTAACATTACAGACATTCAATGTGTGCTATTTAGATTTGTTGATATCTGAATATAAATTTTTAAATATTGTTATTTAAATGACATATTAATACTAATATTATCACAGTCGACTATTCGACGTAAGTGAATCCCAACTTACTGAGATCGTTGACCTAGCGTAAACCCTAAGATTAATTATAATACTGAATGAGTCACCATAAATGTAGTTGATCTGTAATTAAGAAAAGGTATTTCTTTAGATGTAAAAAACCTTTCTTCAATATTTAACAGTTTTGTAAATAATAATTTAAATATTTTATTTATGCTGTCGATAAATGAAAAATGACAGTGATTAACTCGCGATTAGGAATGCAGTTTTAACTTATCAACTATAAAAAAATATACATATATATATAAAAATAGATTAACTAATATTGCTGGGGATTTTTTTAAATATTGTATAAAGTATAGGAGACAATAATTTCAACTGATAATATCTGATATTTTTTACATGACACGGAAATAGCATGAATGAATAGTTTGAAACGAACTTAAGAATGGAGGCTTGCCATTTCTACTACAAGCTATTACTATGAAATTTACTAGAGAGGTTTCGAACATTTGCGAACTACGACAACAAAAATTTTTTTTAATTATTTTAATTAATTGAATTTTTGTCTGGCCATACAGCTGTTTCAAGTATTACCAAATATCCATCATCAGTGGTCTTTGAAATAATTCTTGTATTTAATCAATTGTAAATAATTTTTTGAGACTGCAGGTACCTTGGGTTAAACCTATACCCTCTATTATAACTCTCTATCTCTATTAGAAACCTCTCTCTATACAATAATTTATATCAAGTAAAACATGCACTTTAACCTTAATTATGACGGCAGTGCATTATTTTTTTTTCAGTAATTAACTTCTACTATTTCATTATCAAAAAATTCTATAGATGACATAGCTATTGGACTCGGGTAATTTATATAGAATATAGAACTGGGAAAGTATGATAATTTAATGACTTTTTAAACTTCATTGCATTTAGTAAATACAAAAGTGCTCAATTACTATATATTATTCAACCATTGTAAAAAATTAAGTAAGTTGCATCATCTGTAGTAGTTTATATTCACCGACAATAGAAATCAAAGATTTGAGTCAAATAATGTATTAAAATGCAACCAAATCAATCTATTTTGCAATCTTTAAGAAACACGTGATCAGAAATGAATCACTTATTATATTGTATAAAAACTGGACCACGAAGAAACCTATTTTTTGACAGAAATAAAACTATTTGAAAACGCTGGACTGACATATATAGCTTAGCTTGTTGTGATATACTCAGCTAAGAGGAGACTATGTTGAAAATAAAACAGGTTATTGTGAAAAAAATATGTTTTATATAAAAAGTAACTAAATGATTAAACTGCCCTCGTATATCAATTGAGAATATAAGTATTACATGTACGAATATATATATAAATATGTTTAATGCACAACACGCGTAGGTACTATGCGGAAATTATTATAACACGAAGTTCAATTAAATAAAATTTTTTTTTAAAAAAACTTGATTTAACACTATATATTAATTAAAATTGGTTTTGAATATTTAATAGTCTTCAACTATGATCATTAGTTTATGTGTTATAAACAAAAACTTAAGACCGGAACAATTCGAACTATTCGAATAATTTAAATAGTATATATAATTGTATATAAACTATATTTGTCGATTAAAAATCATGGTCCACAAATGGTTAAGAAATCAAAACTGATGATATTTAAATGATAATAAGTGTTTGTTGGGATTTATTATAAACTACTAGGACTAAACTTCTAAACTTTAAATACTAAACTCAAATATACTATACACATCAAAGAGAAAAAAGAAAAATTTTAATTAGAATTGGGAAAGTATTAAATGAAACTGAAAAATATCTTTTCGATTTTTGTCACTAGATGGTATTATATCCTTCAATATCTTCTTCTGTCATTCTCATCTCCCAGTGGAGCATAGGGCATCTGTCAACATATACAATCCGATATATTGGGTCACATATAATCGATATGTAAATATTAAAACTTACTGATTGAAGTACTGATATTGAGTCAGTATTAAATCAGTTTTCGCTTTAATACAGAAATCTCCAAAGTCTAACTTGAAAAGCCTATATAGCATGTGAGTGTCAAAACTTCAACCTTACTGATCAAAGCAAGTGGAAGAAAAGTCTAAAATGGAGGAAGCCATCTCATCTATCTCTAGTATCAACTACTCTACTAGCATTAGGCAAGGCTTATATTACACAAAGTCTATTAAATTTTGTTTTGAAAAAAATTGTGAAAATAATTTAGTCTAAAGAACTTAAAATCTATATGTAGAGAATAACTAATAATATTTCTATAACAATATAGAATTAAAAAAATTATAACACTAGAGTAATTATTTAAAATATATTGAATGAATGCGATTAATTTTGCACTTTTTATTAGGATTGATAATATTTATGTGTTTTTTTTTATAACAAAGGCTTCCAATAGTAACTGATAAAATTATTAAAAAGAAACAATGATTCTACACTTTTCAAAGAAAAAAAACGAACTATTATCTATTGGGTATGTAATATATTTTAATTCAATTGAACGTTACAATCAGTTTGAAATAATAAATGATAATAAATCAATTATATTCATTGAGCAATGACAAGTGTGAAAGTTGAAGGTTAAGTATTATAAGAAATGTTAGCTCACATAAAAACTATTTTTACGATTCCACAATTTTTTATGAACATAGATTCCTATTATGATAGACATAATATAAATATTATGACTAAATTATTGATATTATGCATAACCACTGTAGAATACGATAGGAGAAGTATTGTTGATATATAGGATAAGAAACTTAGGGGGTTTGTATTTCATGCCTCGATTCAAATCTGAAGATAATGGATAGAACTGCAAAATTTTAGGAAAGGATTCATGACAGCTACTTAACAGCATTTATTATATGTAAACACAATTTTGTTCTATTCTATTCATTGTTCTATTCTATCTAAATACTTTCAAACATCTATCAGCAATTATCTTTTTTGAAAATATTTATATTAAATGGTTTGTTCAAACAATCAGTCTGTAGGGTTTGAATTTAAAATTTCCAAAAAAGTTATAAAATAGTTTTAATTCATTTTCAACAAAAAAATACTAAACTCTTAATATAAACTACTGTTTTCAATAGGGAGATTTCAATAGAATAGAAGTGAAATTACAACAACAAAATTTTTTATTAGTTTTAATTAATTAAGTTCACTTGCTCATTAATAAATTCACTTGGTATATTAGAACGAAATCATAAATCAGCTGTAGAATAATTAAATTAATTAATAATTTTTTATATTTTTAACTGTTAAATTTCAATACTATTCTGTTTGTAGAGACATTATTTGCCGCATGATTTATATATTCTGTCTTGTGTATAGAACCTAATCTAGATCATGATAATGTTACACCACGATTCGTTTAGCCGAAATTGAAAACTTGAATAAATTTTTCTATACATATTTTATTCTATAATAATTCTGTATTAATTTTGTATTAAATTGATTTTTAAAGTTCGTTTTGACAAAAGAAACTAAATTCCTAATATAAACTATTGTTTTCAAAAGGGAGGTTTTTAATCAAAGAGTAGTGAAATTGCAACAACAAATATTTTTATTATTTTTAATTGAATTGTTAGCCAAACATACAGCTGTTTCGGGTGTTTCCAAAATAATAAAATAGTTTAACTAACCTCACATTAAAGAAGACAATATAGCATTTTTTAATATCACAAGCCATTTTGAAGATTTTAGAAAAAACAGGGTTCTGCACTCCTAGTAAAGTGGAAGATTAAGAACGTAACATATATTTTATGCAAATGGTTAACTCGTACTAAACTTCTTATTTAAGGAATGAAGGTTAGTATGTCTCTCGTTAAGGATTTGCTAATATCTTATAGAGGCAGAAACTTTCTGTTTAATAAAACGTTCTATATTATTCTTTTTATTCTATATTTAAGATGTGAACTCCACTTAACAATATATACATTAGTGTAGTACCTCCAGCTCAAAAAGTACCCGCGGTGTTTTTGAGTTTCGGGAACAGGAAAAAGTCGCACAGCGCCAGATCTGGCGAATATGGTGCCTGAGCAATGACAGTGGTGCCGTATTTGGTCAAAAAATCTCGTACAACAAGAATTTATCATAGTAATAGTAATTCATAGTAATTCATACTTAGGAAAAAATTTTTTTGAAAAAGTCTATTACTTAAAGAGTAATTAACAAACAACAAAATCCGGATACTTTTTGAACAGAAAGTACATATTCATATTATTTTCACAGTATATAATTTTAATTTATCATCAAGATGAATATAAATATCGTCAAAAATATTTTCTAATTAAAAAAAAAAGAATTATAAAGATACATCTAGACTATAGTGTTTTCAGGTCTTTAATGATAACTAATTAAGGCAACTCCAATAAAAAAAATGTAGTCTAATAACATATCTCAAAAGCGTTTCATTCAAAAATTTCACACTTTATACTAGTTTTTAGTCTATTAAAGGATATTATAATATGTACTTTTTTTTAATAAAAATATTAAAATAAACATTAATTTTTTATTATTTTCCTATTAAAAATTTATTAATAAATTTTAATTTGTGAAAAATACATTCCTCTCATATACTCAAGAACTTTCCAGTATAATTTTTATTGATTATTAATGACATGTTTAACATTAAAAATTTCGATTTTAAATTTATTAACAAACAAAATTAATTATAAAAAATTCATTTATAATAAATATTCTACTAATTAGCAATCGCATTTTATCTGCGAAACCAGATACTCACCAAATCGGCACAACACGGCCTCCGGCACCTTCCACAAATTTCACATAAGAAGCTGCAATGTAACTCGAATAATTTTGACCCGGATATTTACGTAGAATTAAGTTGCTCACTTCTTGTGTCAATATGCCAATGATGGGCGTTGGATTTTCTCCATCAGGATTAACTTCCAAATCATCATTGATGTCACGCGCCTTACCTTTCGATAAATTATTCGGGAACGCACTTACATTGCAGACTGTCAGAAAATTTATTAATAAAATTGTTAAAATTATTTTTTTGCACATTATCTCTTTATTTAATTAGCTTTTGTTTTTATTTATGTAATAATTTTTTTTATAATTAATATTTTTTATTTAAAATTTTTTGTCCAATGCTTGTGCCAATTCCGCGGAGCACGTTTTGCCGTGTTAACAGTCAGCAAACTACTAAAAAGAAATATATTATTAACAAGCTAAGCGAATATTGCAGAAGAAAAACAAATTTTTAAACAATTCAGTTTCGTTCTTATAAATAAAAACATTTAATCAAAAATCCAAACAAACTAGAATGAGCTGAGCGCAATACACAATATTTACAACTTTATGAACACTTAAAAATGACACAGTCATTACGACTTAACGTAAATGCTACAATTAAGATGTTATCACTCTTTGATTATCGTCATTTATCAATTTTAGTTACTAATTGACATTAGTAAAAGTCTAACATTTATGATTTCATATTAAACCTTTGTATATTGGTATTAAAGTCGGAAATTATAGTAAAATCATTCTTGCGGGTAAACGGCTTCAAAGTTTTTAACTAATGTCCTTTTGCAATTAATTGATTTATTTAACATTATTAAAGATTATCAATGGATATTACTTTTAATCAAATACCATATGTGATTGATTGGATTGAATTTTCTCTACTAATTGCGTCCTACAATTATTATATCTATATATATACATATATTAACGTGGTTTACTTCGTTTTACTTGTAAGTTGTAAAACTACTACAAGTTCAGGTTACTAACGTACTAGGTTAGGTGACACCGGTGCTAACCCCGAATCCCTAGCGATGCTGTTAAAGATAGGATTAACAAAGTTGTAGCTTTATCAAAGGCTGTCTATTTACCCTGTGTACAAATTCAGTAGTTGCGAAAAAGGTCCCACTGAGCCTATTGACTTATTACAATTGCGAAATCCTCCTACAGTCGATTTCTGTTGCGACTATTACTATTATTGTTTTTGTGGCAGCTTGTAGTTTATATATACCTCGAGTGTGACTATTACGCTGTACTTGATAGCCTATACAGACGAGTAGTTTTAGAACTCAGACTCGGCTACTTCTGAAACCACCAATATCTTTTGTTTTAATTTAATTACTCTGTCAGGATCTAGGTTCGAATCATACTAAGATTTGGAATAAAACATATTTCAAAAAAATCTTTAAAAAATACCTAGTGCCTCAGTCGCAGGAATAAAGCTCAAACACTAACCTAACCTGACTTTTATTTGCTCTTAAATTTGATGAAACCACTGTGCTAAAGAAGAAAATCTAATGAATCATTGTTTAATAGTACTTTTCCACGACAGAAATGGATCATTATGGATGAACATTGACCAGATATTAAAGCAGGTAATCTTAAAACATAATCATTTTGATTCCAGGTTCAGAAAAAGCTGTTGAAAGGCAAAATTGAAAACATATAAGACTCTGAAAGCTATGGCAATCTAAAAAAAAGTATTATCACGGAAAACAATGAATTCCAAAAATTATTTAAAATATCTTAAACGTCTATTGTAATTGTTTAAGATTGTTAGCATCATTATGATAACAAAAAATATATTGGCTGTTGTCTACATAAACATTTTGGTCATAAGAAACCTTTGTTTCGTAATGCTGTTTAAGAGCATTTAGAACCTTTATACAACATATAACCACCAATAAAACATAGCTCCATTACTATACATACTATATACATTTTGTATGGATTTTGTATTAAAAATAGTTTATATAGCTATTTTTAATGCGTATTGAGTTAAGTACAATAGTGTAAACATAGCAATATATTGTCAGTATCAATGAAATAACTTGTTTACAAAAAATGTATTAAGTGATAGCTTTCAATTTTACGGATATTTTGCAGGATATTTTGGAATCCCTATCTAACCTAATTAATTCAAACAAAAAAATATATTAAAAAATTAGTTTCGCCAACCAAAATTCATTTTTAATATACCAGAAATATATTCAAATTTTAATTAGATACAACATATATAAATGTATATAAAACTTACTTCATTTGAAATACAAATATACTAATAGTATTTAATATCAAAGCCCGATCTAACCAAAATAGATCTCCAGTTGGAATTGCCATATGTAGCGTAATATTGTTTTCACACCTGATAATGAGTATAATTTAAACAATTAATTTTGATATTTATTTTTGAGAAAATGAGAATATAAATATTATTGCAATGAACAAACTAATACTAATTTTCTCTCCGCAAATGTAAACAATAATATATATTGGGAAGCACTTTAATGGATAATAAAAAGCACGTTGAAATAGTGTGAGAAAAAACATTCAGCAAACATTAATTAAACTATTTTACAAAGTGTCATATTTTAATCAAAAACGAAAAGACAGTATAACACACTCTAATTCAAGGTATTATAGAGAAGGTCTGTTATAATATATATAAACAATATTTAATACTATTTGTGTTATCATTTAACAAATATACAAAAATTAATTTTAATGTACCCATAAGTTAGCTGTGATATTAAACTTATGATTATAGAATTTAGATAAATCACAACCATTGTTTTCTGAAATCGCTACTACATATAAGACTATACTAATAAAAAAAAAATTAGGTACTAGTTATCTCTGTTTAAATTCTCCTAAGTTCACTAAGGTGTATTATAAATGTGACACTCGAAAGAAAAATGTTTGGACACCGTATGTAAAATCTCTAAAAGCACATGCAATGGTAAAAAAATTCTGGACGCCCTACTATACTTTATGTCTTGAGGTATGTCACAAAAGGATAGATAGATAGACCTCAACCGACAACTGATCGCATTATAATAATTGTGGATGGTTTATCTATAAATTGATAACTGACAACTGTTAGTTTATGTATAATTTTACTATTATATTTATTTTCATTTTAACGACGCACACATATATTGGATTCGCAATTTCCTTATGGACTAAGAGAGTGAAATTTTTTGGGTTCATATCCTACTACTATAATCTTAAAGAAAATCTTAAATACAATGACTTAAACTAATACAATCTTAAATAATATCTCTGTATAAATCCCAACTTTAATTTCTAGGTGGTGCTTCTCGATCTTTAGAACTAGAAGCTCTGATGTCAGAATACAGGTGCCCCAATATAAGTCCTTATAGGAATACACACACTATAATCAAAAGATGATTCACTAATGATTTACAAATGTTTCCTTCGGTAGGAACTCTTTGTCTATTATTATTGTTGTATCCGATCAGGTAAAAAGGGGTGGTCGCTAATTGAGATCTGTGTACACAAGTGGTTCCAAAATATATACCATCCCGTTTCTACAACCAAATAGAGCTAATACAAAAAAAACATAAAAAACGAGCTTAATACTTTGTATTTATTCCAATAGCCAAACAGTTCCTTAAGCCCATAAGTCAAGTACTATAAAATTTGAGATCTTCACTTGATGTAGTAGATTTAACAATAAAATAACCTGGCTTTTCAGTATTTATCTAATATTAGTTGTAGGATATATAACTAGCGAATGAGCTTACAACTTAGTGTGCTACTTTGTGTCGATAATGAATTAAATAAAAAAAGAAGGAGAATATAATTTTAACGAGTACGAGTATTTGGCACTAATGAGAAGTCTATTCATCTCATTATCTGCCTGCTTAGGTCAACGCTCAGTCGTTCAGTTTATATACAGTACACATTTTAATAAATTTATTGCTTTGATATGTATATCTAATTAATTTTACACATATAATTAGAGAATATGACATATTGTCGCAAAAATATACAATTTAGATAAATTTTATAAAAATAAAATCATGCTGACGAAATTAGTTGAGAATCAAAACTGATATATCACGCTCAATATCAACGTTTGAGAAAAATATTTAAAGAAAGTGAATGGTGAAAACTGAGTACATAAATAGATGTGGTAGAGGATGCCCTTCTTAGAATGCTTAAGGAACAGCGGAACTATTTAGGTTAAAAAAACAATACAACAAAAAAAATTAAAAAAAGGATCAGAAAGCATTTTAGGATTTGCGAATGTGATTTCAAAACGCTCGAGTTCAATATGCACAATGGGCTAATAGGTGTAAGCGGATCCTTAGGTTCACCGATATAACAACTTCACCTTACTGTGATTGTAATTTGCATTAATTTTTTTTTTTTAATTTTTTATTTATAAATACTACCTGTAAAAGAACAATCAGTATTACTAATGTATATAGAATAGAAAATGATATATAGACATATGCGAGGCATTTAGTAGTAAACACCGCTAAAAATTAAATTACAACTAATAATGAATTAATAGTTGGCTATAAATATTTAATATCAGTGATTTTACAATACGATTCACGTATTTTAGGTTCTAGGTCGTGTGCGAGTTAGGCTAAGTTGCGTTCTAAATGAGGGAAATTCTAAGTTGTGCCGATAATGTAGTGATGTTTCGATAGGTGTTGATAAATGGCTAAATGTGTGCATTGCAAAAAATCCCAAAAAATCTCCCATTTGATTTAGCATCAACTTAGCCTAATTCGCACACGTCCCTAGTATGCAAATCCGACGTAGAAAATCTTCGTAGTCGACGTAAATGGTTTACATCTGATAACAGTTCGTGTGCTAGTGAATTTGGGTGATTTGATAATTGTTTTAATGTTAATAATTTTAGTGATTTTCTAAAATTAAAATTTAATTTAAATTTGGGACTCTAATATACCAGACAATTGAGTTAAGCTGTTGAAGAGGGATTAAAAAATCCCAATATTGAGATGTAAGTATTCAATGCAAATAAATTCTTTTTTATTTGATGAAAAGTTGAGTACATTTTATTCGTTAGGAATATAGAATCCTACTGCTGATTATTTTAATTATTATTTTATTAATATTTTAAGAAAGTTATAACTAAAACCGTTTATAAATATGTTTTTGCAAAACTGTTTTAGTTTATTTATTTCAAAGTAAATAAATTATTTTTAAAAAAAAATGTTTTATTAAAAATTGCATATATAAATATATTATAAAGTATATATTTACTTTGTTATAATTTATAACTGTATATATTTCCATATACTTACCATAAAATTCCACAAGGGGTAGTATTAACAACCCTGCCTCTGTATTTTCCAGTGCAAAAAATATGCTTCAATACATCAAAACACAATCATTATCCACAATTAATTTTTTTGTATTGCTAAAATATTTTAATTAATTTTTTGCTTATTTTTATTCACTTATTAATTAATAAAATTACTTCAATATATAAACACGATATATAAACATTTTAATTTCACTTATTTACAAACCGACTATAAAAAGCGCTCTATTTCGCGCATTATGTCAAACTGCCGAGCAGCTGATGTGTCGACTAAAATGCTGTGGTGTTGTTATTGTTTTTCCAACTCGCTGGCATTGCAATTTGTTTATTTCCGTCATTTATTTGCACTTTTTCTTTAAATCACATAACAAAAATGACTTCATTATCGTGTTAAATTGCCATTGAAATAGTAACGACAAATACTATAGATAAATTTAATGAACATTAATTTAGTTTAAATAATATAATTTATTTTATTCATATAATAAATATTCTTTCATTCAGTGCCAAAAAACAAAAATTACTTTTAGAAGAATATATAACCTAATTTACATGACTTATTTGAAGTTATTTTTAGTATTGAATATATTAAAATATATTAATTACATATATCTTATGTTTGATAATTATTCGTCTACTAACGTTTGCAATTTGTTTTTTATACTGTTTTGTATACTTAATAGATATTTCATTTCCACTAACACAGACTTGGCACCATTAATATCATCTAAACCAAAACATTTTTCCAATTTAGTGATTTCATTTTGTAGATCAACTTCAATTTCTTTATATAATTTTTGCAAATCTTGTTTAGAGTTAGCAGCTTCTACATCCTCATTTCTTTCCATCATAATCATTAGAAATTCTTTATTGATAGAACTATTGTCTTGTGGAATCTCGTGTCCTTGCATTTTAAGTAGATATTGACCACGATCAATAGGTGTTAGTAGTGTCTTATAAGCTTTATTGATAAGTGAACTCCAATCGGCTGAATTGTTTTGCTCTCGCGTTGTTCTAGAAAGAAATGAAAATTAATTAAATTAATTAAAAGAGGGGTTTTGAAGATACCTCGAGTTAATAAAGAATAAAAGTGCTCAAGTGCACTGGCTCAAATAGCTTCAACATAATAAAAGGAACATTTCAAATGTATTAATATAATGGAAAACAAATTAAATAAAATAAATACTTATTTAAAGAAGCATCGAATTAAATAGATTATTTAAATATAAATATTTTTCTTTGTATACTTAAATAAAACTATAATACTTTTACATAAAATTAACATAACTTCAAGTTAGAACATACAAGTCAAGTAAGGCTTTGGTTCAGTTGGATAATTAACACTGACTTTGAGCTTCAAATTTGGTAGGGCACAAGTTCAACTCTTGATACTTAATGGTCGCTAAAAATTATATATGAATTATTAAATACAAGGAATATTTATAAAACACCACTGCTGATGGGTATTTGGCAATATACGATACAGCTGTTTGGTCAACCAAAAATTCGATTAATTATTAAATAATAAAATTTTGCCGTTATAATTAACTACTGCTCAAAACACCTCTCTATTACCTCTTTATAACGATAGCTTCTATTAAGAAGCATGGTTGTTTTCATATAATTGACTTTAAAAATCAAATTCAATATTAAACCATAATAGTTTAAAATAATAGATATTTGCATAATATGTTTCCACTAACATCATTAAACCAGTTAACTTACTTGAGACTGCTTGAATTACTTGAATCTCAAGTATATTAACTGGTCCAGTGGAAAGCTACCTTAAGCGTCACTCAAAACGATATGTGTCAACTTTAGTTAAATTAAAATTCTGTATACCTACTGAATTATTTAAATCAAGGATCGATCTGGTGCTGTTAATTGAAATCTTTTAAAGTGAAAAATAAAGAACGTTAACACCTGCAGATTTTTATGATTTTATGATTATTCAAATTCTCTGCTATGATCGCCATTTTTAACAAAGTTCCCAAAAAAACTTTTGAAAAGTTGAAATAAGGTTTATCTACAATAATTACATGCGAATATTTTAGAGCATGTTTGTCATTACTCTCATGATCAAAGTTAATTATTTTACTGTTTTATCTAACTCGAATATTTAGGGAGTATGAATGTGTTAAGGGTTCGGTTACACTTAATTAATCAATTCGTTTAAATTTAATATAGCTTTAGACAAATTTAATTTATATTTTTTGGATCTATCACATTTGCTTTGAGTTATTATATGGTAACGCAATTGGCCAATAGGCTTAAGTAAAGCCTTCAAAACCCCGGTATAAACTCACCTACTTTTGTTTTATGTCACAACCGATTTAAAGCAATACTTTCTTAAAAGTTACCGCAATATATTTATATAACTTTAATTGAATGTAACTTCTTTACTTTGAAAACCAATAAAAAACTTTTATGCACACTTAACGCCCACTTACTTATTGCTGAATTTATCTGGATGCACTAGAGTTTGCAACTTCCGAAATTGTTGTGTTAGCTTCTGTCGTTCAATTTCAAAACTCTTAGGGAAGTTAAGTAAATCGAAATAATTCTATAAAAATAATTCAAATATTAAAATTGAATAGTTCTAATAATATTTCATGTTATTTACAATTTCCATGTCAACATCTTGCAAGAAGCCGCATTCCTCGCAGAGCATATAATGTTTCCTTTCGCCTGTTTTTTTGCAATTCCAACAGCCTACTGCTTCTCCAATTGATGGCACATAGTTTCGTACTTGATGGGCACTATTTTTAGACTGAGTTTCTTTAGCTGCCCATTCCACCTGCACGTTGGGCCACCTGTGACTATAGTTGGTAGAGAATTCCCTGCGTACATTGGCACATAAAACTTTATGGCACAGTTCATTCACATTTTTTGGTTTAGATATATTTTGCAAAATCACTGCCGCTCGTCGCATCGTTAACCTGTCTTATTGATAAGCTTTTATTATCTAATTACATTGATAAAAATAATGAACTCTTCCATAATATGTGTTAGAATGTGCATAGCACAACAAAAAAGAAAAAAAAATGATATAAAAACAGTGCTACCAATACCTTTCAAAAACGTGATGCCTATTGTTAAATATTCCTTTAAGAAATTTTTATAAATTAGTAAACAATAAAAGCTATTGAAACTTTTATTCATTATTCAGTCAACGTTAATGAATATATACGAACGCGTGATCATATTTTCACTATTTATTTCAATACCAAATCTTCTGTCATTAAAACGAAGCATACTATTTGAATATATTAAAAACTATATATACTAAATATACACGATGTAAGTACTAAACAAACCTTCTTTACATCAAAAGTTCTTTTTGACATTTGTTATACTTGTCAACGAATTATTTTCCTTTTCAGTTCAACCAATCGCTGCCTGGTTTCATGTAAGTAATATAATCTACATGATTTCTTAATTAATTCATCATAAACTTT